ACTCTGAGCTATCAAATTGTGCGTATCAATTTCAAAACTGTTACAAATTATTTAGTAATCTTTTGGGAAACAAACGTTAATTATAATAAACTTATTATATGATATTTATACACTAAACTGATCAGGAATTGGGTGCTGATCAAGAAATGGATCCGTGACGGTACTGCGAGCGGGATTCATATTATCGCAATAACGAAAGGAATAATCTTCTTTTCTCAAACTATGATATATCGGTCGAATGTACTGCTTTAACTTCGTAATTGAGAGGAGAAACAGAATAAAGCATTATGTCATCTTTACTCCGGGGACAATTTGTGGTTTTTATTATGGACCATCCGGTTGCATTACCGTCGTTCTGACAGAAACGAACTGCTTTCCTTGGTAATTGTGCATCCAACAAATGAAGACAGGCATCGCAGATTGGTTGTCGCAAATGCACACGAATAAGCCGTTCCGACTAATTAAACGACATTTCAGTGAACAGAGGGCAGGCGGGTACGCACTGAAACGTAACGATCGGTCGCGATTCATGCAAATTCAACCATTTCAGAGCCAAGTGTTTCCCACTACCATCGCTTCGGCAAAGTGGTCTTGACCCTTCTTGTTTCTTCACTATCTCGCATACGTGTACCCTATTACCCATTTTTCCTTTCTGCTATCACGTTTTTTCGATTCGTTATTTCCTATTCCTCTTTCCGCAACTCTTTCTTTTGTGCTGTCTATATCTTCCTTCTTATTTTCCATGTTATACACGTGCCCTCTTTTCTTTCGTACGAATCCTTATTTCCCATTTGCGTACAGTAACACCCTATTGTTCTTCACTCCGTTTATTTTTAATTACAGGGTTTTTTGCATTTCAACTAAATTGGTATTTTTTTGTACTATATCAGCTTTCGTTCGCTATATTATTTTATATTTTTTCATTTTTCATTTAAAGTTCTTTAAGACGAATGATAACGGTTGTACGCTGCGCCGTACCGTCAACGTCATCGCTATATAAGGTAGTTAATCTATGTTCTTTGCATTGCCCTTTCAAATATGATTAAAATATAGACTTTTATCTACAAAATAGTGAATAAATCATTAAAATTCCTGCATTCGTTTAAAAGTTATGACATTTAATGTATTCCCAATTCCTTGGAACATATGAAATAATGTCTCATAAATAATTTGCTGTTGAAAGAACCATAAATTTGCCCTATTTTTACCATCTTCCTTTAATACAAAGATACGCAACGGGCTCGATTGATGGTTTGTCGGTTTTTTGCCGTTCCATCCAAAGCAATGAGACGGCATTCAGTTGCGCCGTGTTGTATCACTGAATGATACGAGAAGAGGATACGCAACACGTGGATACCAGTCAGTCTTTAAACGCAGTTTTCTCTATCGACGTATCAGTCTCTACTGTTCCTATTTTTATTCTACATGTTGGGAAGGTTCGATGTTGGGGAGCAGGAATCAGTAAGTGTTTGTCAAAGGCTCGCGAAAAGTTTGTCTGCGGAGCTCGTAGCGTAACGCCACATAGCGTCGAAGACACTGTCTGGAAGGACGTTATTATAGGAAAAGAGAGGGTGTAAGAGGGAGGGAATAGATATGCCGGGTACAAGCCAGGGAAAGATTTATGATGCTCGTGCGTCGGCTCTCAGATCTCAATTTCGGGATGCCGCAAGTCAGGAGTCATGGCGCTCCCTTTGTTGCTGTCAGAAACGACCATCATGGACGAAGCGATAAGAGAGAAGCCGTTGGTAAGAAAAAAATATTAGAGATAAGGATCGGATGGGGCAAGGAGAAGGGAAAACCAACGTAAACCTACGATATTTTTTTGTTCTTTCGTCCATCACGCCATTGTCTGTGACGCTTTCAGCGGAGGTCTTCAATTGAAGGCTTTCAGAAGATGAAGATGTTATGCTACATATATGAAACTTGTAGTAAACTAAGTTTAAAAGTTAATCTTCCTGTATTTGCCTATGTAATATACATCCTTCATATGTTTTATTCTGCGACATACAAAGTGAAATAAGGTACTATGTAAAGGAATATCACATACCACCTTCATTCACTAACAACAGAACTAGATTCTCACAAAAATGTTAGATAACCTGTCCATCTCCGAAAGAATAGCTGGACAACTGCTGTTCCGAGGGCACAATATCCCCTCCCAGGTTACCCTCACTATGATTCTCCGGTGACTCGCTCGAGTGTCGCCACCAATAGTGTTACCGCCGCAGCTCGAGTGAACTAGCGTAGGACTATAGTGGGGATAAGTTGGATGGGGTAATTCTGCTCTTGGAACGCAGTTGCCCAGCACTACTCTATAGTTGATATCAATCGTTGATATTATGTTACTCTCTGCCCTCATTGATAATTGTGTCGCATACAACAATACGTATTCAATTCAGCATATTTTATCTTACCTAGAAATGATTCTGTATTTTAGCTCCTGTTCTCAAAATGCCACACATAATTCCTAACTTCTTTTCCTATTCGTTTTATTATATTGTATTGTAATACTCGCATTGTTAGTAAATTTCAATCTTTCGTCAAGGTATTTCACGATTTGTACGATAATACGTTTTCAAATCGTGTGTTCATGTTAATAATTAAATTGAAAAATCTTTTTATATGATATTGAATCGTAAGATGCATTATTTACACGGATACAGTAGACCCTTAAACAACGCAGTAATTGGGACCCCAACACCCCGCGTAGTTGAAAATCCACTCGGGTTACTATTCACCGGAAGCCTTATTTTGTGTTAATTGTATCACTTGTTTGTGTTATTACTGAATATCTCCCATAGTCAGGCCGTGTCAAAAATTAGAAAGAGTTAGCTGCTGTACGGTTACCAACCTGTCTTTTGAATGAATATCAGACAAAGGCAGAATGGTGACCTAAAGCATGCTATCATTTTCTAATATTTGATGACCTATCGGTCAAATGCATGGTTTAGGTATGATACGTCTAAGATTCACACTAGCACGATACGGTCAAATCACGTGAAATTAGGCACCTATCAATATCGCTCACACGTAATTCAATGAAAGCATTCAATTCACAGTACGCCGTTCCGTCAGGTCAAATCAAAATCTGTTGATCGTGAATTTGGTTTGCTAGCGATCAAAATCGCGGCACTCGTCACAGGATTTGACTTTTTGGTTGACAATTTTGCCGTAACAATATTTCCGGTATGTATTTGTTTCGGAAATGACTTGCGTAAATGTACTCAAATATTCAGGTATTTTGTTATATATTAATAATCACACGACATCAAATATGAATATGTTAATATACGTGTATACACAGGTATATTTTGATACACGTGTACCCGTGTATTTAAATTCACGTGAATAAGAGATCCTTAAATTCCCATGATAAAAATTCCTGAAACGATATTAGACAGCTTCAAACCTTTCTGACATCTCCTCCAGATATTTCGTAAATATTTTTTATTGTTTATGTGACCGCAGTTGTGGTCAATAATAATTTCCGAAATTCATAAAGGGATACGCGATGAATATTCATATTATATTACCTGTCGCTTTTGGTTGATTTTTTAATCAGAAAAGAGCCAAGGAGCTTGAAACCCAATTATAAAGGAAGTATGAGATAGAATACCTACCTACTAGACAATATGATGAAAATAAAATGAACACTACTAATGAATTATGTAATTGAATGTTATGAAGAACACTCCCTATAAAACGCAAAAAACTTTCCGTTCAACTCAATAATGTGTTATAAGAAAATGAAAATATTAATGTACCATGAACTGACATTCCTAAATACCGTGTTTCTAAAGGTACTAAGCGTATGGCTATCGCACTTGAATTGCAAAGTTAATGATTGCTTTGCTTCGTAAAAGACAATTTCTTGTAAGCATTTAAACGAATAGAAACAACATAGTTCATGGGATTCTAAAAGTACTCCAAACTTTGAACTATATTAATGTGAAACATTTATGTTAAAAAATTGTGACGATTTGCCGATTAGTAGAAGCTGCTAGTCCTTTCATTGAGAATGCAGAGCGCATATCTTGATCCTTGATAACGCTCATTAACTGATTGTCGAACGTGAGGCGCATCGTTGTAAAGCTCTGCGATTTGATGTTCTCGGAAGAATACTGATATGCGAAAATGCAGGAACATCAACCACGCATACGTTTCAACCGGTGATATGAAAGTTTAATGCTTCGATTTTGTTTAATGGGAGATGTTTCTCGATACAGGTAATAAAATGTGAAACGATACAATGTTTTGTTTTATCCTACAAAGACTGCGACAAATGTATTTTCATAATTGAAAATGGATTCCAGATTATGCAAATCACATCTTGTATCAACATTCTGTACTTGCACTGCAATGAGAACGTGATGACAGTGACAATATTGGCCGAATTGTTGACTATGAAATGTCTCACGTGGCCTTTCTTAAAGAAGCTGATACAATAGGTGGGGCAGATTCAGTACCAGTCTATGGAACGCAGTTCTTTCGTGCGGTACATCTATCCATCTGGCAAGTTTAAATTGTAACGTGATTTCATCCAGAATATCCTCTCCATATACGGTACAAAGGGTGTTGTTGAAAACAAAGACACTCTCTCGAGCATTTCGTAAGATCAAATTCTAGAAGTCATCAGTTCTTTATCCGAGACCGAAGCAACTTCAACCTAAGACAAAGATCTCTCTTCAAACGCATACTATAGAGGTATTTTTCCCTTCTTTTGCATGTACATACGTCCACATGCAGTCGATTACAAATCAATGAGCTATGGTAAGACACCATGATATTTTCACGTACCATGTGTGTGCTTTACTCACGTCGAACACTGAGAACAGATGTTCGGAATGAAGAGATCGAGCAAATAAAAACAACAGCGAATAATCGAGCAGTCCAGTTGACAGAAATAGTCGATGGTACTAGAGACATCAACCGGAAAATGGATGGGTGACAGTGTATCGGTATTGAGCTTTAAAAAAAAAAGCTGTTCGTAGACGACTTACCTGGTGGACAGTTACACTCGGGAACATCTCTTTTGGTCCGAAAGGCGTTCGATTCTGGAGATTTCCGATGCAACGCGAGTTGATTTCGAATCTCCCTCTTCAGCCTCTGAATGAGGACGTCCGGTATTTCTTGACGTTGTAAACGAGCTTCCAAACTGGCGATCCTCGATTCCAATCCTAGTTCCCTATACATCAATAGGCCGGACACGACCAAACTGGTAATACAGAGGGCGCACAATGCCCAATTATGAAATTTCTTCAGCATCGACGTCTCGGAGGAGCCCTTTTTCGCCGACGACCAGTCGGTCGCCGTGTCGGACTCCATGTTGTACACGATGAACACACGCTCGTTTCTACTCGTGTGCACGGAACGCGTTAAGAGCGCGTCATAACCCACCCGACGATCGTCGACACGTCCTGATACGACAATGACGAGTAACCGTGATACAGTGTAGAAAGCACGCGAGTCCTTACAGACTGTGTGGCGTCATCGTCCATCTGGAATGCATCTCGGGCGCCCACTTGCCGTTACTGCTTACCTCTCTTTCCAACCGACCGTTCGTTGTTTCACTTTTTCACCTCGTGAGTACGAGTTTTTCTATATTCTATGCTGCTATGATCGTGTATGCTCCTATACTCCCATCCTCGTGTACTTCCGCCTAAATTACTCTTGCTTCTTTTTTATCATCAGCTCCTTTAAATACTGGACATACCGAGTCCGCACTGACGTTGGTAAACAACAGTATCACCAGTTTAACGGGTGTTTGTTAAACCGCGCGCTCCTTTCAAACGATCGTCGACAATGTCAGTACCCGGTCGTCTTCGAAAGAAATCGGTGCCTGTTCATTCAACTGTGCAACCGACGACGGATCGTTCCTTTACACCCCTTCTATTTTCGTCTATCTTGTTCTACGAACGTCTTGTTCTTCCTGTTGCCGCTGCCACTGGAAATCGAGCATCGCCCGGCGCTGTTGCATCGCGATTTCTCTGATTTCTGCACTTTCAACACTCTCCTAAACACGAGATTGGCAAACCAGCAAAATGCTTGCCTTTCGGAGCTTTTCCTTTCGCGGAGCACGGTACGATAGACAGAACAGGGAAAACGAGCGACAGCTGTCTGTGAGAACTACCGCCGAAACGACAACGTACCACAATTGCCAGAAACTTTATCTCAGTACACGGGGTCCTTTTAGCCTGGCTTTCTTGATAAAACCGATGCACTGTCGTGACAACGACGTTCAATTTACTGGGTGACCGAAAACTCCCGAAATACCGCAAATACGAAACACCCGGCGTGGCATTCGCAGTACGACTGGATGTGGTGGGGCAACGCTCCGCTGTGAGCGGAGGGTACGTCGCCTCGGTGATATTCGTCAAGCTTCGGCTGTCTTCGTGTCTGCGACTCACCCACCGCCTGCCGGACGCGTGGAGGACGATCGGTCGACCTAACGTCCACTTCCATTCGCACTGATTCGCCCCTGCTTCCCTTGCCATTCCATTTACCTCACCATCGTGTCCTTTCATCACTCGACCGGATTTCGGTAAAGAATCTATCTTTTTTTGTTTTAGTTTTCCTTCTTACCGTTATTCACACCCGAGTCACACGCTCATGGGGGAACAAGCCGAACACCCCGAATATTTTTGCAGTTCAACCTATTCATGTTTCCATTCTTTCAATGTAAGTACGCACAGAATTAGTTAACCACATACGATTTACTTCGCGTGTACAGTTAAATGTAAATTCGTAACTTCTCAAGTATTATCGACAGTGACACTTACATCTTACCATAATCATATCATCTGAATTCAATATATATAGAGTGATGTGCAAAACTTTCCGGACAGATTAATTTTTCACATTATTTATAAGAAGCGATATCTAAAGCAATATTAACTAATATTGGATATATGAGCGTGGCAAAAGAAAAAGAACAAAGCCACGAATAAAGACTTATGCACTTATACCCGATATTAGTGAAGCTCCCAATCGTATGAATCTTTATCATTAACTACATGTTCATGATCTTTCACTTTTGGAATTTACGTCTTGAGTAAATGTAAAAGAGATTTCAACATGCCTACGTTTCTCTCATCGAGTTATGTAAATTTAAATTACAATAATGAAATTATTTACTTGAAATAATTTTTAATTTACCGATGGTATAAATATATTTTCAAGAAGAAAAACAATAATTTATAAATAAACTTTGTCCGTAGTTCTTACCTGTTTTGCTCCGAAATGGTTTCGTTTCTAAATGCGATTGAAAACGTGTTATATTTGGAAATGTCGATCGACAAATCGATTGTGTCCCTTAAAATACATCCCCCATGTGCATATATACGTGACGGATACGTACAATCGACCCCTTGCTGCCGCCCAATCTCTAGCACAGGAAGCGATTATAGACTACATCCTGGAACGTACGTTCCGCGTATTCGCTGTCTACACGTGTACTAAATCGAATGCTACAGCAGCCTCCCAATCGCGTAACTTATCAACCCATAAATCACAGATGGACAACCAGAAAAAATAGAATGAAGGAAACGATGATGTCTGGTACCGTATAAATCTATGAGAGATCTCACTAACTAATGCAATTCCATAGCACATACTAATCAAATTTACTAAAAGAAAACGTGCTAAACCTGCTAGCACAAACACGAAGGTACCGTCATGCGAAAATTTCGCACATTTAACATTGAACTAGTTACATTCATGGAAATTGAATTCTTTGGTCATAATTCAAGGCATAAATGTATTCAATTTGCCGTACTATTTTGCGATAGAAATAAGTTAATACATTTTCATGTTTGTCGCAAAAAATTAAATGTTTGAAAGTAAGTCGAAAATATTTGATCAAACTTAGCATGCAACTTCAGCTCTAAAAATTCGTGGCACAACCTTCCTAGGCAAGTAACATTATTTCCGCCAGAGGGGAAATGAGAGTGCTCACGCCCGGGAATTCGTTGTCCCCGAGTATGTGTGCTCCACCAAGCGGCCAATTCTGGAATAATAGTAGGAATCTATCCGTTTTGGTTCCACGGTGGCATATACAAGAACCTAGAATTTTTCATTTGAGGCAAATTTGAAGGAGCTTGAATACTCACCAATTTACACCCGCGCCGGCGAGGCTGCAGTAACTTCCTTTAGTAACGACATTTACAGCTGACATTTCTAATAAAAAAAATTTTCGTAACTTTGAATGATAAATATGAAATACTGAAACTTTCATAATGATTCGTTTAATAGTTTTTTTTTGTAATAAATTCACAGAAACCAGCTTCTTTTCAACATTTTATGTATATGTAATTCCCCCTTAAGAAACATAACATTTGATGTATTAATTTTATTATAGTTTTATTTGCAATAACGATGTACAACATTATTTACAGTAAGAACGATACAAATATTTGATTTTTATAAAATCGCCTCCCTCTTGGCTTTGCCTCAGCTACTCAGTCCACTTCGGCTTGGGTTTGCGCTCCTCTTTTTCATTGGAGCGTCCTGTTCTTGAGCGAAACATTTTGGCAGGAATTGTTTAATTTTTTTTCAACCCAGTAACCTTCAACTAAGTCTGACAATGATTAAAATGTTGACAGCAGATCAATTAACCCTAGTATAGGCAACCAAAATATTCACAGTTATTGAGCAATCGCAATACTTCTATTCTGACAGATTAGATAAACATAGATAATTTTACTTTCATAGTTTTCCAAAACTGTTAATTTTCCTTTCCAATAATATATCAAGTGCTGTTTTAGACAAAAACATAACAAATTGTAAAAGGAAATTTAGAAATGGGTACCCGGATACCCGGTTGCCTACACAAGGGTTAAAACAAAAGTAACATTCTTTTAAAGGCCTTGTTTCTTTTTCCATTTATTCACTGACCGCTCGTTATATCAATAACTTCCTATAAATGCAATACACATATTGATAGACTGACACTTTACAATGAACTCCAGTGAAGAGTGTATATCACGTTTGGGATCTACATCAAACTGATAATGGACCACGATGAGAACCTCTGGGAACGGTAAACCGCGCTTCGAAGGGTGAACTTCCAGTGTGCTTCGTGATTAAGAAGTCATTGCGGCCGATGTCCTCTTCACGGCACGTTGGTCATCGCTGGGGTACGGTATGCGGCGCATTATGTCGCGTTTCCGCCAGGAAGCAGGCGCAGTCCGGACAACAGCCTGCAGCCCGTTTACGTTCGCTCTAAGAGAATCTGCCTTGTGGACACTGCGAACGTGAATGAAGATACACGATAAGAACGTGTAGAAGTAGAATACAACGACACAACGATAACGAAACGGAGTACTAAGGAGGGATGTGTGGAGGAACTGTAAGAGGAAATGACGGAGGTAGTGGAGGCAGGACCGACACCGACACGTTCAAACACTAAAGCAGACTTTCATTTCGAGGACAAATCCGAAACCACCCCGACGAATGGTTCTATGAGTGCTTGCAGGTCAATGCGCAGTTTGTATTCTGCTTGGTAGAAAATATTCATCCATCACAATGTAGGTATACCTACCGGCCCTCTCAACGAAATTCGCTTTCGTCATCACAGTCGCCGACACATACTAAGCCTAGTCTTCGTTTCTTTATCTGCCGCATTCCTTTGTATTCAGACCGCTGCTTCTACCTGAGAAATATGTACTTCTCAGAAACTCTCTACCGATGCTTCGATTTTTAATACGAACCGTATTCCTCAGAGATTCTGGGGCAGTTCTCTTACCAGAAGGCACCCCTGCTTTCCCAACTCCGTGGCAAGATCCTCCAGGAACAATGTCCATATTCTTAAGGCAACGCAACATCAGGCTGTTTGCCATCTCTAACTTTCCCTCGACTGTTTCTCATGAACAAACCCACAACGGCCGACAATTTAAGGACCCAACCCGGTCCTCTGCCGTCGCGGACTGGTGATGGGTAACCGAGCTTTGCTGTTCGAGCTTGTTCGAGCTACTCGAACGAGCTCGGGTGACAGATTTGTGATCTCAGGGGAGACCCGAGGCTTTGGCACTCGAAGCTCGAAGCTCGAAGCCTCGGCGCGTAGAGATGTTATCTGGCAGCCGGCAACCGACCCTTGGGCTCTCGGGTTGCAATGTAACACACGGAATGAATCACTCATGAATCAAAATTTAAACTTTTACTCCTTTCAGTGTACTTTCTTAAAAATGGTATGAATAAATCTAGGAGATACTGTTGATGAAAATAAGTCCAAACCCGACATAAATCGGACTATATTTAATATCATAGAATTCGTATTAAGGGAAAGGTGGGATAATTTATCAGTTTTGCCTTTTCAATGAAGTAAAAAT